AATAACAACATTAAAATTCTAGCACGGCTCTAGGGATCAACTTAATAAAAGTCGAACGTTGTGACTACGAAGTTAAATATGTCAGTTTCATCGCCAAAACATTTGTATGGCCCGCAGGCATAGTGAATGTGAGTTTGACGTGAAATGAACTTCGTCACTTAGCATATTTGATGTGAGGAAGTGCGAATGGCCTAGTTTATGGCAACGAATCGAGTAAACAGAAATAAGTGAGTGAAAAAGCTTCCCATTTGAACATCGGCGTTATCTATCATGAGCAAAAAACTCTGTGGAGTTGAAACCGTTTCGAATGTGAAGAAAAATGAAATGGGTGCAGTTGGCTGTCGAATGCATATTACGCGACTTGTTCAACCGAGAACAAGAGCCTAGGTCAGATCGTCATGTTGAGCTTCATTTGGAATTCATTTATTCATCGCTTCACATACTGTTCAATTTGTTCCACTCAAAAAGACACATAAAAATCCCTAATATAAGTTCCATCTAGCATGATGCATTCCAGTTGTTGCTAATTATTGCAACATTATTCATTTGAGACTGAGCAATGTGCGGTTGTGCGTCTCGAATGAAATTCAGTACATTTTTCATAAGTACTCCTTTACAACCTAATCGTAGTGTTTCATGTAATCTTGAAGTACTTCTCATTTAAAAAAATCAATTGAAACGCAATTTTCGATCCTAGAAAAAAAAGGATGTCCGAAGCAGTTTCCTGGCAGCCTTATTCCATCATTTCAGTCAAAATCAGATCTGTCGATCAACTGTGCAGGCATGAAGCCAGCCGGCTGCTCAGAGAGCGCAAATTAGATTTTCACTCAATGTGAATGATGTGGTGATGCGTTAAGAAGAAGGGCGAAAAAAAAATTCACTCAGATCACAAAAATCGTCAAAATGAAATTGACATTCCAACGGAATGACAATAAAACTCTGATGTGAGTAAATAAAGAATCATATTCCCTAAAATATAAATTGAAGCAATGTGAAAATTGTATAAACGTTTGAATGTCCAATGATGTATCGTCGTGTCAGTGAAATTTGATAAGAATTCAAAATTTGAACCAATCAAAAAAAATGAATCCATGAAAATGAATTCTAAACTGGATAAATGTCGAATGATTGAACATCTTACTGTAAAGACTGCCTGGTGGAATTATAAGTGAACATTTGTTTTGCATAAGCCTCTCGTGCACTTGTCTATATGCTAACTTACTTGTGTTTATTCGAATTCATATTTTTATCATCGTATATCAATAATTCATATGCTATATATGAGTACACGGATTATTGCATGATGCTCGAAATGGCTAAACACGAATTGTTTCACGAATTGAATGGGTGGAGTGAAGCGTGTTGATAATATAAATCACAATAGCAATAATAATAGCGCCATAAAGGCGAATATAACGATTAATAAATTATACAAGTTGACAGATTGCTAACGGAAAACGCTTTATTTGACAACACAATAAAAATATTCATTCATAAGCAATGTCCGAATAATCAAACACTTGAAAATATCCTATGGTTGCCATGGAAAGCCCAACGATCACACTAAGAATTGCCCGTTCAAAAAAAGTGATTTCCGCAGGTCTTCGCGCATTTATTCAGCGAATTGATGCAATAAATCAGTTTCACGCTATAATTTTCGCGATAAAACATCGTAATTCTCGTGTGTTTACGCTTAATGAATGCATATTCTGCGATGTTTTCATGGTGAGTAGAGGGATTAAAGTAATAAACTAAATCAAAATAATCGTTTCCGAAGAAAAATATTCGAACGAATGAATGAAATCCGATTGCAAGTAGCAAAGATCAACTAAATCAACGAATATAAAGTAAGAAAATGCTGAGCAACTCGACAAGTGCTTCGATGACAAATGGACACTGTGAACTTTGCACTGATTGAAATTTGGCTGATTTAAATCACAGACATGATATGTTCATTTCGAAGAAAAAATATCTCTATTCTCTCGGGAATGTATATCGGTACAAATAAGTATGTGTATAACCAGGAAGTTTCATTAATTGAGGCATCCTGATTCCTAATTGAAGTATGAAGAGCTGAAGATTGAATCGTTTAATGCACTTAAACTAATGCTTATTTCGATTATTCTTGAGAAAGGAAATGGGAAGCACGACAAGTTGAATTGATGAGGCTACTTCAATTCGACTCGACTCGAGTCGATTCGACGTGATGTGATGTAATGCAAGCCTGGCGCACTAGTTTCCTTCTAGTAATGCGAGCTCTCAATAGATATTAAACTATTATATGGCGTAGCCGTTCAGTTGCACGAGCTGTGCGAGATGTCAATGGAAACCAGTTATACGAGTGAGCGAACTTTCAGTGGAAAGTATGCTCCTACTAGCCAAGAAACTCAATGAAATGCGTTCAACTTAATTAGCACTCCATAACGATCAATTCAACATATTACATATTTTTCCGTATGTTCACAAATATTTATTATTCACACTTTCATGCATTCGATGAATTCATATCGAAATACAACATAAAACACACCGTTTTTGTGCTTCATTCTTAATGAACATTAGGTGAAGTCTCTTTTATTCTATTATTTCTTGAAAATCTCCTTTCTAGGCGTGCTCGTGCTCAATCTGTTCACTTCACATTCTACATTACAAGTTTTTAATTCTCACTTTTCAATGGCAGCAATTTAGGGCTGTGTTTTGTGACAGTAATTGATCAACTAAATTAGGTGCTTTGAGGACTATCACAAATTCAATAAATCACTAATCAATTGCACTTTTTGAACTCGGTAACGAGGTCGCACAATTCGCAGAACATCATGCAAATGCGTTTTTGTCGTTCGTTGGCAACAATCAACTGTGTTCACATATTGGAACCTCATCGATCCATGTAAGTTTAAAATGAGATAAGCTACATAAACATGGTCTGAATAAGGGTGTCTGTACATTTAGTGAATTGACAGCAATGGATCACGCAATTTGGAAAACACTTCCGCAATTAGCTTTTATGTTCAGACAAGTGCAGCGAGCAGGAATGGTCAAGTTGAAACTGCGTTCAATCATTCAAAGTCATCATTTATAGATGATGTGGAGAATGAGAAATGCAAAGAATCCATATGGATGATTTCGATCATAAAAACTGCATGTTTCCTCTATCATTTCGTTAATCGTTCGATGATTCGCGCTACGAATGTTTCAGAATGACGTTACGAATGTTTTAGAATGATGAAGCGTGTTGGGACAGTTTTAGAACAGTTGCATCGGTCTCGGATAAAGACACATCGAATGCAAACGAGAAAAATTGATCTTCGATGGGAGATTAAGACTTGACGGTTAGATATTTCCACCAAGGAGAACGATAGCGTTTTATTTTTAGCTGGAGTTCATAATCGTTTGGATGCAATTTATAGCATTCCAACTGCCAGAAAAGTTAAAAGTTTTAGGCCAAACCTGACGATAGCAAATAGTTGTTACTGTAATTGACGATAGAAGGCAAATGAATGTGGATAAGGCAAATAAATGAATGTGTGAAGACAGAAATCTGAAATGTTTTTTCCGTCCATTCACAAATGTGTGGCGTTGCCATCACTAGTGGATATCAGAAAGAAACACTGATGAATCCTTTCAGTGGAACGAACGAACCGTCGAGCTCATTAGATGTTAGACAGTTATGACTTATCCATTTATATACTCGTATTTGAACGCTTTTTCGATTGATGTCAATCAAAATCCATGTACATCATCAATTCAAACGCACACACACACACACA